TGGCGGGGCCGCGTGGGAAGAGCCGGGAGGCCGCCGCGGGGCGCCGCGCGGGCGGCGGCAGGAAACAGCGGAAAGCGCGAGTTCAGCGGACCAGCTGGACCTCCGAGTGCACATGAAGCCCATCTCTGTCGTTGCTTCGAAAGTCCTCAGAGCGAGGCTTCGCGAAAGTAAAAGGACTCAACCGCGCTGGCCAGAAAGCCGCGGACTAGGTCCTGGAACAAGTCTGCAGCGCAAGTGTGCCTGTGGCCCCGATAGCCAGGGGCATTTTAAATGTGAGAATGTGGGAAATAAAGCCACGCGTTGTTTCGCTGCATCCACACTAGCTGCAGAAAGGGCAGGTTAACACAGAGAGGAGATGGAGACAGGAGGCAGCCCATAAGAAGTACTTATTTCTAGATTGGTGTCAGTCGTCTGGGCAAAAGCTTGCTTTATAAGCAAAATGCAGTGGGGCCTATTGGTCAGCCGCTGTGACTAGAAGAGAGTTGCACAGAATTATTTTAGGAAAAATACTTATTCTCAGTTAATTTTTAAGTCATTAAATGACTGTTTGATTCTAGTACCTTTACTGGCCCCGGAAGGAATGTGCACTGCACCTGACTAGTGTTTTCACTGACCTGCTCTAATGAAGATCATGACTTATAACTAAGGGAAAATAACAATGTAAAAGGAAAGTTAATACGCTTTTTTTGAGCGGGGGGCGGGGGTGGTTGCTGGATTTCACTAGATCGCTACACTTCCCAGGCAGAACTCAGACTTTAAATCCTTCAACCTCAGCCTTCCAGAGTGGTGGGTTCATAGGACTGTACCACCATAGCCAGCTGGGCAATATTCTGAAGGAAGAATTTTTTGAATATTTGATCACTTAGGGTACAAGTCTCATATACGTGTGAATGAATATGTGTACATCGGAGAAGAGCTGATAGAAACTACATTATCGGTGTTGTGGCTTGTGTCTAGATGTCCGCCCCCCCCCTCCCCAGGTCTTTTCAGGAGGTGGTTAGATCTAAAGTATATGATGCTGAGGTTAAGTGGATGTAATTACTAAATTAGTTCACTGATTGGCTTGGCATAGTTCTCCCTGTGGATAATGGGACGGCCCTCCCTGGGTGTGAGTGCTACAGGTCTAAGGGCATGTAGCCTGGATAGAACACAAGAGACAAACACAGGGCTGCTGCCTTTGTCACTTGTTGCTTTGCTTCTTGCTGCCTTCTACCTGCCATGAACTGTTTCCCCTCTGCCATACCATCCTGCCTTGGACCCAGCCATCTATAAACTGAAAATTCAGAAAACTGTGAGCTACAAAAACCTTTCCTCCCTTAACTTTGCATGTGGGATATTTTGCCTCAGCAACAAGGAAAGTAACCAAGACAATTGGTCCATACGGTAACAGTCTTCTAGTCTTCAGAATCAAACCACACTGGAAAAATTTTTCTAGTTAAAAATGAGAATACTGCCAGGTGTAGTGGCACATGCCTATAATCCCAGCACTCGGGAGGCTGCGGCAAGAGGATCCCTGTGAGTTCAAGGCCAGCCTGAACTACATAGCAAGACCTTGTCTCAAAAAAAAAAAAAAAAAAAAATCAGAATAATGAACCAGTTCTTGAAAGTTGCTTGACCCTGGATCTATAATAAGGAATTACTACTTTACAGTCATTTTTCCATTTAAAAAATATTTAGCATGACAGATACCGTCCTGAGCAATGTATATTTAATGATGGACATAATGGGCGTGGCTTGTGTTTTCTTGGAGCTTATAGTCTGGTGAGGGAGATCAAAAAGTATATAGACATATACATAAACATTAGAGAAGTAATTACACTATTTAGACATTATATGAAAGAAAATAGGTGGAATAGTAGACATGGGGGGCTGATTTAAATTGGACTTTCTGTCAAAGTGCAGTTTAAACTGTCTGAAGGATAAATGAGCTAGCTACCTTAGGTAAAGCTAGGCAGATAAAGATTTTTAATAGAGAAAACAGCAGATACAATGGCCTAAGGCAGGAAACAAATTTGGTGGATTTAAAGAATTGAAAGGGGCCTGGAGGAAAAGGGACCAAGAGATAGAAGGAGGGGGAAGGGAAGAAAAGGGGTAATGGGGAGGAAGGGAATAAGAAGGGGAGGAAAAAAATTAAGATGTGTATTTATACATGCTCCACACAATGAATATAATCGTATGCACTGCAAACATGTACTAATAAATTTTTAAGTGAGGGACCTAGTATGCAGGAATGGGGTGGAATGTGGTATGGAAAAAAGTATTGAGGGAGGTGAGAGCCATACCATGAAGACTTTGTGGGTTACATTAAATAATTTTGATTCTATATCAAAGAGAATGAGAAGCCACTAAAGGACTTTTAATTCAAGGATAAAAGTATCCATTTGGTGGTTTTAAAAGATTTCTCAGGCTGCTGTCTAGGGATAGCACAGAATGAGGAAAATGGGGGACCAATGGAAGGCTGGTATAGTGACAGATGATGAAAAGATAGGCTGAGGAACCAACACAGCAGAAACAGATTCATTTGATTTTAACTTTGGAGGTAGGCTCTTTGGGACTTGGCTGTGGAGGAGGAACGAAATAAAATGTCAAGAATGACTCAAATTGTGGACAGTGGTCTCTAGGTGTCTTAATCCATTTTTCTGTTGCTCTAACAAAATACAACCAATAATTTACAAAGAATAGAGGTTCATTTAGCTCACAGTTCTGGAGGCTGGGAAATCCAACAGATGCTGGTATCTGAGAGCCTTCTCAGCATTATAACATGGTTGAGGCCATCACCCAGTGAGACAGAGCATTCATTCCACAGATAACTCAATGTTACACAAAAGTCACTCCCAGGATAGCCCATAAACCCACTAATGGTTGAGTCCATTCTTGATGGCTCTATCCTCATGATCCAGTCACTTTCCACATATCTCATCTCTTAATACTACTGTATTGGGGACCAAGCTCCCAACACGTGAAATTTGGAGAGACATTCAGACCATAGCAGTTGGGAACTGTTTATAACTCCAGCCCATGTGGATCAAGGCACGGTCTATTCATTCTAGATTCCTTTTTGT